GGAAGGGGTCCAGACCTCTGGGGGTCGACGTCGTGAAAAAATCACGACGTCGGGGGTCTGGGATGACTCCCCCGAGTGAGGCAGCCCCCCCGTGCTGCTGCTCGTGGTTTTCGAGCCAACTCGGCTCTCCGACGGCCGCTCGGGACGATCCGGCCTCCTCCTCCTCCTCCTCCTCCTCCTCCTCCTCCTCCTCCTCCTCCTCCTCTTCCTCCAACTAATCCTCCGTATAATCCGTCTCCTCCTCCCCATCCCCTGGACGCTCCCAGCCGCCGGAACGCGTCCCGAGGCTGACGAGCCGCCAAGAAGCAACGACAACGCCAGAAAGCCTCGGACCTCGAACATGCCGTCCCCCCTTCTGTTGCATCCTCGGGAACCTTGTCTGTCCAACCGCGGCCCTATCCGCGTCGAATCCGTGTCGGATCCGTGTCGGACTCGTCGGATCCGTGTCGAATCGGTGTCGAATCCACGTTGAATCCACGCCAAATTCACGTCGAGTCTGCATCGAGCCCGCGTCGGGCACCAGAAAAGACACGTATTTTGGGGACAGGCGGCAAGTACGCTGCCCTACGACGCGGAGGATGGTCATTCGTGCAGCTGAACGAGGACATGTCCTTGAAGTGCGCATGATACGGGCCCCTGCCAAGGCCACAGTGGCAGCAATTCATATTCGTGAGCGAGCTGATAGCCGTGCTCCGCGTGCTGGAGGTGGCTTGCCCGCCCATCATCATCGTCTCCGACTGCCAGTCGGTCATCGACGGGTTTCTGAGAGGGCCCTCGTGGGCGGCGCGCCCCGCCACGCCACACAGAGACGTGTGGGCGCGCTGCTGGGCCTTGATCGCTGAAAACGGTGGTCTGGGGCCGCGAGGGGTCAGTTTCGAGAAAGTAAAAGCCCATGCCACGAGAGCCCAACGAAACGAGATGGGCCTCGAGCTGTGGGAGGGAAACAGAGTGCCGATCAGTATGCCAAGCTAGGAGCTCGACTACAGCAGCACCCTGAATGGCTCCGAGCTGCATACATACAGCGATTCAAACTCGTTACGGATGTGCTTGAGTTCGCAGCCTACGTAGGAGTGTTAGGCAGAGGGCTCGTTGACACCTCCGAGGGCTCGAGTCCGGTTGAGCGGGACTCGAACCCACCCAACCCCCCCGGACACCGGCCTGGTGGGGGTGAAGGGGGGGGCGTGGAGCCTCCCCATCTTCCGCCTCCCGGCGCCCCGCCCCACCGTATTGGGTTGGGGGGAGACGGAGGTAGGATCGAACGAGCCCGCGCCCAGGGGCACAGGCTAATATGCCTCCCCCGTGTGATCTTCTGTCGCCGATGTGCCAGGTACGCTCAGGACAGATGGGTTGGTTTGCTGTCGAGCTGTGTCGAGGGAAACCCCCGAACAATGGCTGGACGTTTGAGCCGTCTGTGGGAAGGTCGACACCCCACCACGGGCAAGCCGTTTTGACCAAAGCCGAACTTTATCGCCCAGGGACGGCCTGGGGTAGGGGAAGCTTTCAACGTCGCCGTGGTGCGTGCCTCGCAGCTGAGATCTGGCTAGCATAATCCAGCATAATCCTCCTCCTCCTCTTCCTCCTCTTCCTCCTCCTCCCATCGGTGGGAAGGCGTTGAAAGTAGGAAGGCGCTGACAAGAGAAAGGCGTGGAAAGTAGATTGGGTTCCCGCCCGCCCCCATTAGGAGGGCGGAAAAAGCGAAGCCACTCGATCATTGAAGCAGGACGGCGCTCAAAGTAGACTAGAAGCTGTGAATGCAAAAATACCTACTAGAACCATCGCGCGCGCTTCGCGCGCGCTTAAGTTCTACCCAGGCTTGATAGGCCAACTCATGTAATCTCATTTTGGTCGCTTCTTGCGCCCAGGAACTCCCTTGGAAGCCCTGCGCAAGCCTCGGAATCGTATAGAAGAGGAAGTGCGGAAACGCAGAAATCATTAATCCCACCAGTCCTCTGGGCGTAAGTGGTGTAGAGAGTTTCCTCTTCCAACCTCTACCCCTCCCCCTACCCCCTCCCCTGGACCTGGACGGGGGGGTTCGGGACGCGTTGGGGCGTCCAAAACGGCCTCGGCGAGGAAGCCCAAATCACTGGTGTTACTAAGGTCTTGGCCCCATGTTGGCCTCCTGAAGGGGGGAACCTCATTAGGGACCCCCCTTCCTGTGATCGATCTCACCCAAGATGGCCCAAAGATGGCCCCCAAGGCTCCCAAGGGTGCCCCAAGAGGGCTCCAAGAGGTGGCCAGGAAGCCACAAGAGGCCCCCAGGATGTCCCCAAGAGGCTCCCAAGAGACCCCCAAGAGGCCCGAAGAGACCCCCCAGAGGCACCCAAGATGCTCAAAGAGGCCTCGGCGAGAATGCCAAATCATTGATTTTACTAAGGTTTTAGCCGCATGTTAGCCTCTTGGGGGGGGGCACTGATTAAGATGACTCCAAGAGCGCCTGGGAGAGCCCAAGATGACCTCCAAGATAGCTAAAGATGCTCCAAGATGCCCCAAGACCGCTCCAAGACGGCTCCAAGTGGCCAAAGAGCTCCCCCAGGAGGCCCCGAAGAGGCCAAAACCTTAGGAACATCTGTGTTTGGCTTCCTCGCCTTTTCGCTTCCGATGGCCATCCGAGGCCTCAAGATGGCTCCAAGATGGCCCAAGAGGGCTCCAAGAGAGGCTCAAGAGAGCCCCAAGACGGCCCCAAGAGCGCCTAAGAGCGCTCCAAGGGCGCCCCAAGAGCGCCCCAAGAGGCGATTGTTTGGGCTCCCGAGGGGCAACGCTAACTAATGCTCAATTCTTGTTTGATCGATGTCCTCCAAGATGGCCCCAAGAGCGCTCCCAAGGCTCCCAAGAGCGCTTCAAGATGGCCCCAAGAGAAGCCCAGGAGGCCCCAACAGGCGCCCAAGAGGCCTCCAAGATGCTCCCTAGACCCCCAAGAGACCCCAAGAAGCTCTCCGAGGTACCCAAGACACTCCAAGAGGCCTCCACTGGGGGACCCTTCCTCTGTGTGCTGCACACTTTCCTGATCGAGGCAATTCCTCTGGGCATCGTTTCTGGATGGGCTGGTGGGGTTGCGCGAAGCGTCTAGAATTTTGCTGGAAGGCTGCTGAGCTGCTCCTGCCAATCCTGCCCCTCCTGCTCCCCAAACCTGACCCCCGGACCTCACGACCCCTTCCACGAGGTCGGAGTCATCATCGTCCTGACTGTGTTTTCATATCGACCACCACGCTGGGAGGTTTTGGGCGACGCGCAACCCCCACTGCTCTCGTCAAGCGTTAGATAGTGAGGGGGCGGTAACTGGAGGGTGGGTGGGGGGGATGCGTGCCCCTTCTCGTGCCCCTTTTGGGCCTTTCAGGGCCCTTTGAGGGCACAATAGGTGCACCTTCCTGTACCCGGCGCGTGGTTTTCGAGTCGCCAGCGGTCTGACGCCTCGTCCTCCTCTTCCCTGCGCGCCTCTTGAGCACACTCCGTGCCTGGAGGAGTCGGGTGAGACGCTCTGCGGAGACCGACCTCGGCCACCCCAAATCTCGCCTCGCGCTGCGCGAGGTGCGGGTGCCGTCGCGGCGCGACGGCTCTCGAGCCCTCGCCGCGAGGCGTGGTTACCTTCGCGCCCACGTGGCCGAACTCGGCCGACGCCTGCCGATGTTGAGCCTCCCGCACAGTTGGCGCACCAGGGGGGTGGAGGAGGCACAGGCGCTCCTGCCTCTCCACGAGGGCTCGAGAGAGAGAGAGAGAGACGCAGGCCCTTGGCTTCCACGACCACGAGCCACAAGACCACACTGCGTGCCACTGCTCGCTCCCAGGGCTACCATCTCTGGCAGGAGTTGCCTGTTCAGCGTCGTGCGGGCGCATGCGATAATCTGAGTGGGCGCGAACGCGCATGATGACAAAACAGGCGCAGGCGCCTGCAAATTGTAAAGCGGAGCGTGCGAACACGAATGATAATACGAAAGCGGCCAGATCATCGTGGCTCCGAGGAATCGGCGCGCCACCGCTGAAAAACGCAGCCCATCATTCAACAAAGGCAACCATCGGGTCCCGTCCCAGTGGCACCCCTTAAAAAGATGGCGCCGAGCCTGAGAGAGCGTGCCAACTTTCCCACAGCGAATTGCAATGTGTCGGCACACGGATGAAACACCATGTCATAAAAGTGTAGAAGTACAGCAACGGTCGCCAATATTCTGAATCTCGAGCGCGGCAAAGCGGAGCCCAGACTTGCGAGGATGTCTCAGGCGCAACGGGCCACGACCCCTCGGGCGCGGCGTCTGTGAAGATCTCTGCGTATCCACGCATATTCCTGAACCTTCCTGGGGACGGGCTTAGGACTGTTTATGAAGGGTAAAAGACACGCATTCCAGGACTATTCCTGGATTGTCCTTTCTTTTCATAAGGCAGGATTCGAATAGTTTGCAGGCATGTTCATGAATATTCTTACATGGTCCCACAGTCTATGGAGGAAAGATCTACTCAACGATTCAGGGAAACTGCACGGAAGACATGTTACAGGAATCCTCTGGGATCCCCCAAACTTTTCCCGAGGAAAAGAATGTTCGGAATATTCCGGATCTTCCTGAAACTTCTCTAACTATGTATGAAGAAATTGTGTTTGTCCACCAATATGTCATACTGTTCGAACATCTTCTGGAGGAAGAACTGTTTGATAATCTCCATGACGACTCTGCGAAAGTATCCAATTTGTATTCCTGAATATTCCAGAGGAAAGATTTTCCAGGACGGGTTCCTCGAACTGCTACACCCAACTGCCGTCCTTGCGATTCTCACCGGAGCGCGCAATTCGTTACACACATCCTTGCTACTGCATCCGCAACTGATCTTTGCCACATCGATTGCGACCTGGGCTCTTCATCCTGTTTCCCGCAGTCGCCCGAGAAGCACTACGGCGCAATACCCCAGCGCCCAAAGGGGGGAGAGAGGCCGAGTGAGGAGAGCCTCCCTCCACGGGCCTGGTCGAACATCGCCGCAGTGCGCATGTGCTCGGCCATCTCGTCATATCTTTCGGCCTCCGGGCCCGACGCTGGGGTAGTGCTGTTCCTTCTCCTTCCCCGACCCTCGCCCCATTGATGTTGTCAAGCCGCTGGCCATGGAGGTCTCAACCCCTTCTCCCAAGATCAATGTTCATTCCAATACATGGCAAGACAAGCCAGGATTGGAAAAAAAACACTCCGCTGGACCTCTGGGCCTCCGTCGTCCTCGTCCTCCTCCTCCGCCGCCTCCTCCTCCTCCTCATCCTCCTCCTCCTCGTCCTGGTCCTCCTCCTCCTCTTCCCTCCTCCTGCCCTAGCCAGCAACATTACTGGAATCATCATCCCCCCTCCTCTTTCCTCCATCCTCCCTTTTCCCCCAACCGTTCTCCTCCTCCCCCCTGCCCCCCACTCCCGTGCCCCTCCTCCTCCTCCTCCTCTTCCTCCTCCTCCTCCTTCTCCTCCTCCTCCTCCTCCTCGTCCCCCTCCTCCTCCTCTTCCGCCTCCTCCTTCTCTTCCTCCCCCTCCTCCTCCTCCTCCTCCTCCTCCTCCTCCTCCTCCTCCTCCTCCTCCTCCTCCTCCTCAATTCCCTTCCATGTGAATACTTAACTCATCCATGTCGCACCCCGAAGCCAGAAGCGTGGGCCAGACGTTTCGCCTGAGACTTCCTTACCACTTGTATGAGCCTCAAGCTTAAAGCTGACAACAATTCACGGATGGAGGGCGGGTCGTTTCAAAATGTGGCTCTCGCATTAGCGCCGCGAACATCTGTTTTCAAACATTGAAAACATTTCTTGGATTACCATGGTAACGTACAAACAACATGTTGGAACGATTCATGGTAGTCAAGGCGCAACCGCTACGTTGATTCGCGGTGGTGAAAGCCCAAGAATAGTGTTGCGGCACGGTTCAGGACCGTCAAGATGCAACAGTCAGGTTGGCTCGAAGCGTTAAATCGCGCGTTGGCAGATCTGGGTTTAATGGGACCTGGTTTAGTGATGGGTACTGGGGGACGCCCCCCCCGCCCCATTCCACTAACCGGAACTGCCGTCACCCTAAAAAAACACTAGCTACGGCAAACCTGGTTTAGTGGTTCTGGCCAATTCGGGGCTCGGGGGCCCTACCACTAACCGGGTCCCCTTACCTCGGGTCCTGGCCACACCCGATTGAAATCGTCATAAGTGTGTTCTAGTTCTGGCACGATTCAGGATTTTCACACGATTGTCCGCCAACGGGGCACTTCCCTCAAATGGGAATGAACCCTGTGTACGGGCCTGTGAAGAAGCTTGGGGGGAGGGTGCATTCCATCATTGTTGATGAGTCGTGGGATTACGTTGGTCCTCCTCCTGATCCTCCTCCTCCTCCTCCTCTTCCCCCTCCCCAATTCCTCAGAATTACCTCCAGCGTCAAACATTGCTTCTGACATGGGCACGGCGTCGGCATTCTGAGCGGCTAGCGGACCTCCGACGTGGTAGTCTTCTTTCCCACGTAGACCTGCCGACAAATGTCTCGGGAAACGTTTGAACGGGCTTGAAAGCATAATCATAAACACAGCGCGCCACCAGTACGATTGTTTTGATCAACCGTATTTTGGCCCGCGGGCGCGGGACTGTCGTTCCAACCCCTCCCCTGATGTAGCCAATCCTTACCCTAACCTGACCCAGGCCCTGTCGACACTACGCCAAAGCTAACCTGACCCATTAAAGTTAACGTGGCCAATGGCTCGGCGACACCAGTGTGTCACGCGCGCGCTGTAGCAAATTGTGCACCATAATAGGGCGACACAGCAAAATGCAATGCAAAGGTGCCAGCTGTATCACTAGTTCCTCTTCGTTTCTAAAGAAGAATCTGGACGGCGCTAAAGCGAGAGCAACTTTCGCAACCATAGATGTGGCAGATGTTGTGGCGAGAGCAACTTTCTCAATCATGGATGCGGCTGGCGCTAAGGCGAGAGCAACTTTCGCAATCGTGGATGCGGCCAGCGCTAAGGCAAGGGTAATGTTTGTAATCGTGGGTGTGGCCCGCGCTGATGTGACAACAAAATGTGCAATCATGGATGTGGCTGGTGCTAAGGCGAGACAGACTGATTTTCGCAATCGTGGGTGTGACCGGCGCTGAGGCGAGAGCAACATTCGCAATCGTGGATGTTGCCGGCGCCAAGGCGACGGCAACACTCGCAATCATGGATGTGGCCAGCGTTGAGGCGAGAGCTACGTTCGCAATCATGGATATGGCTGGCGCTGAGGCCACAGCAGCCGTCGTAGTCGTGGATGTGGCTGGCGTGAAGGCGAGAGTGACGTTCGCAATGACGGATGTGGCGGGCACTGACGCGAAAGCAACGTTCGCAATCATTGACGTGGCCGGCGAAGATGCGAACGCAAAATTCGCAATCATGAATGCGGCATGTGCTGCGGCGAACGCAACATTCCCGACCACGGAGGCGGCCTGGGGAGGCCAACGCTAAATGGATATCAAGGATGTGGCCACTGGTGAAGCGAGAGCATCCGTCGCAATCGTGGGCGAGGTGTCCAACTGCACACGCGCACTGGCTCTAGCGCAACCAGCAGCACCACTGAAACGAGCAGTTCCAAAAACAGCGGCACCATGCGCAGCAGCAACAACACCAACGCCAACAACAGCAGAAATAATAGTGCAAGCCGCACAAGCGACTCCAGCAGCACCTCTCTGACCAACACGGCAGCAAACAACACCACCACTACGCGCACCGCACCAGTATGACGACCACGACGGGGAATGGAGCCGCAGCACCACTCCACACAGCACAAACGCCACCAGTAGCAACACTGCGCCGACAACGGCAGCAAACAGCAACACCAAACGCAGCAGCACCAACGTCACCAGCAGCGCCACTGTGACGAGCACGACTAGGAGCAACAACGCCACGCGAAGCAACTCAAACGCAACCAGCTGTACCAGTGTGACCAGCACGACGAGAAGCAGCAGCACTACACGCACCAAAACACGCGCAAGAAGGAGCACCGCCGCGACGCGCACGACAGGACCCAGCAGCACGACACGCGCTACAACACCACCAACAACACCACAGTAATCAGCACGACGAAAAGCAGCAACACCACGCGCAGCAACACAAATGCCACCATCAGGTCCACTAGAACGAGCACGACAGGAACATGCAGCGCCAGGGCCAGGCGATTCGCGCTGGACTGCGCGAGCACCCCCACCCCCCCGCAGGCCAAACAAGCGGGGGGCGTGGCGTTCACTCCAACGCAAAGCGTCATGGCCCAGATCGTTCAATTTTGCGCCGACTGGGGCGCCCCAGAGCAGAAGTGCGCGACTCGTCCGCGCGAAGTTTTGCGAACCCCACCACGGGAGCAACTGCTGCTCGCCCCAAGCCCGAGCGGCGGTCGCTCCCAGGCAACGGGTTGCGCCAGCATGGGCCTGCAGTACCAGCGCTAACCAGGAGCGCCAGGGCGAGCGCGAGGACGGGGTAGTGACTCGTCGTGGGCCCGCCGTCAGCGCCCGCAACCTGCCGCCGCCCAGCCAGGACAGCAGCCCCCAAGCCTAGCGCCAGCGCCCTGTCCAGCCAGCGGTGCCACTAGAACGCCACGCAAGGCAGCACCAGAACCACCAGCGGTTCCACCAGAACGAGCACGACGGGAACCAGCAGCACTAGGCGATTCGCGCTGGACTGCGCGAGCGCATCCCTCCCCCCACCGGCGAGGCCGGCGAGGGGGGAAGCGCCCCCTCGCCCCAGCACCAAGCGTCACGGCCCGAATCGTTCGATTTTGCGCTGGGCACAGAGGGCGCCCCAGGGCACAGCCCACAGCCTGTCCCACAGGAGCTGGCGATCGCCCCTCGTACCGCAATCCACGCGGCCTGGCACAGATGCGCACGATGATTCACGACGCGTCGGTCAGCAACACGAGCGAAACGAGCCGTTCCACTGTGACCAGCCCGACAGGAAGCAGCATCGCCAGAAACCAGCAGCAGCAGCAGCTCAGGCGCGACCAGCAGCGCAACTGTGAGTAGCAAGGCAAAGGCAGCAACAATAATGCCACCTGCAGCGCCACTCCACCAAAACATGTCGGAAGCAGCAACACCACGTGCAGCATCAACGCCGCCAGCAGCAGTAGCGCAAGCAACACCAGCACCACCAGCAACGGAGCAACCAGCAGCACCACTGTAACGAGCATCGCGAGAAGCAGCAGCACGACAAAAAAACACCAGCAACCAGCAACACCACCTTGACACGCACACTGGGAACCAATTGTACGACGCGCACAAACTCTGGCGCAACCAACAGAACTAACGTTACCGCGCTGCAGCAGCATCGACGCCGCCACCAGCAGTGCTGAGAGCAGCAGTGGCAAAAGCGACGCCAGTAGTAGCTCTACGGCCTGCACGGCAACGAGCAACACAGCCACGCAAAGCAGTACGACCGACCTGGGCAGCTCCAGTACGACGAGCGCGACGAGAAGCAGCAACCACACGCGAAGCAGCATCAACGCCGCCGGCACCGCCACTGCAACGAGCACGACGGCGAGCAGCGGCGCCAAGCGCAGCAGCACGAGCGATACCAGCGGCACCGCTGCGACAAGCACGGCGGGAAGCAGCTGCGCCACGCAAGGCAGCACCAGCACCACCAGCAGTTCCACTCGAACGAGCATGACGGGAACCAGCAGCACCGGGCGATTCGCGCTGGACTGCGCGAACACCCCCACCCCCCCACCGGCAAGGCCGGCGAGGGGGGAAGCGTCCCCTCGCCCCAGCGCGCAGCGTCACGGCCGGATCGTTCGATTTTGCGCTGGACACCGAGGGCAAATATGCGCAGTCCGTCCGTGGGAAGTTTGGTTGGGAGTTGCGAGCCCCGCTCTGGAAGCAACTGCTGATCTGCCCAAACCCGATTGACGGTCGCTCCCAGGGGGAGGGGTTGCGCCGGCGCCTAACCTGACCAACAGCGACCCCTGGGCAGCGCCCTCCCACCGTCGTCGTCTGGGGCGTCCAGCGGCTGCCGCGCTGCTGGCGTCGCCATTGCCCGCTGCAGCTGCGGGTCGCCAC